AAAAAAAAAAAAAAAAAAACGAGGAAGGCTGCAGCTTGTCTTGCTTTATCCGCTTTAATGGCCAACTGTGATGATGATAATTATATCATAGACGATATGATTTTAACGTAATAAATTAATGAAAGAACACGCGAATTATTTCCATTATCCCTAGATTTCATTTCTGTTAATTAAAATAAATAAATAAATAAAGCTAATCGAATCGAAAAATTTTTAACGATAAAAATAAATCTCTGCAAATCGTTTACTACTTTGATAGCAATTAATCTTTAATAAATTAACATTAAAAATTCGAATCTATATATTGCTAATTACACGAAGAGATCTAAATATTTCCCCAATAATTACTCAATCTACGATCCAAAATTCGAATCGAAAAAAAAAAACAATCGTGGAAATAACGCGTGGAGAAATTCGATGGAGGAGGGGGGAAGAGAAATTCTCTGTCGATGGAAGCAGTCCTTTTTGATTTATCGCATGGCGTATATCTTACGAGTTCTCCGATCCCGCGACTCGATTCCTCCACTTCCGCCTCCACGAGACCCTCGAGTGCACGGTCGCGGAAACACGATCGGGTCCCGGTCGCAAAAACCACCCTCGATTCAACCCCTATTCGAAGTCTTTTCACCGAAGATCGATTCGACTGAATTTCCTTCGCCCCCTTTTCTTCGATTGCAGGAAGAAGAGGTTTCTTTTGAAAGTCGAAAGTCGATTGGAGGACGCCACGGTTGAATTATTGTCGAGAAGAGGATGGTTAATTTCTAGTCTTGCTTGGTTTATCGAATTTCTTCCATTTTTTTTTTTTTTTTTTTTTTTTTTTGTTTTTGTTTCGTGTTGTGTATAGGGGAGATTGATGATGGTATCAAGCAGTAAAAATATTTAATTCAACAGATAGGTAATAAAATGTGATAAAAGATGTGAATATATATTATTTTAATAAATACATATTGGTAGAGGGTTCGTTAATTTTATGTTTCTTTCGTAGAATCTCATTCGTTTGAAAAATATTTCATTATATTTTAACAAGTTTAATCATTTTTATCCACTCTCTTATGAATATTTATTAGAAACAGTTTTATCGTGGATGAGTAAATTAAATTCATTTCTTCGAAAAAGAATATTTTAAATTGATTACTTAGTTATTGGAATACTACATTAAATTTTTCCATTAATGAAAATTGATTTTTAATTTATTACCTGTTGATTCTAATAATGATTTAATCATTTCTCTTACAAGATGCAATTACCAATATGATTAAACTATCTTTTGTTGATATTGTATAATTCTAATTTTTTTTTTTTTTTTTTTTTTTTTTTTTTCGTTTGAAAACTATTAATTACCGACTGGTAAAACGGAATTGTGCCACTTGAATCGCGGTTTTCCAGCGGAAACTCTATCTCTGCGCTCTTTCGCGTATCGATTATCCGCGAAATGGTTCCACCAGCATGCTTGAAAAATGTTCGAGAATTTCCGAATTTCATCTCGATATATATATTTATTTCTTTGAAAACAATTTTTAAATTTAGAATTTTTTTATTCCAATAATATTTTTCAAAATTTCCAAGCAATCAGAAAATTAAAAATATAAATATTGTTAAGTCTTTGAATCTGGTAGATTCACTTTTTTTTTCTTTATCTTTTTATCCGCATTTTTTTTTACATTTTTCACGCTCAGAGATCGATCGATCGAGTAGAATTATCGAGTAGCTGTTTACAATTTACATTTCTTCATTATTACGCGTAAAATTTCATGAATAAAATATCTCGTCAAAGTTTGCCGAGGAACGTGAAGGAATTTCCCTGACGTCTATTCGCGAGATACGTAGAATTTTTACAAATTACCAACGACAGGTTCAATCTGATATCATCGTTGATATTCATGATAGAATATGATGGTACATCGGTCGAAAAAAGGGGGAAGGGTTGGCTGTTCGAAATAGGACGTGTGGAGCAGGGTAAAAGAGACACGCGAGTGACATAGAGGGATGGAAATTTAAAAAGATTGTGGACGTCAGAAACATAATTGCACGGTAGAGAAATTTTTCCATGAAATCTTTCCATCGATTCCTCTTATGGACGTAATGCCATACGTACAACCGAGCATAATTGAATCTTTTCCAATTTAGAAAGGAGACGAAAAAGATTATAGAGAGAGAGAGAGAAAGAAAAAAGAGATAAAAAAATATGATATCGTATCCTCCAATCTTATTTTTCCTAAATCTTTCAAAATATTATTATTTCCAATTTTTCGCGGATAATTTCGTGGATAATATTTAAAAAAGAAAAAATTGAAAAAAATAAATACTATTATTAAACAATTTTATTTTCGAAATTTTATTTTTATTTATTGATTTTTGATCCATTTTCTTTTTTTTTTTTTTTTTTTTTCATTCGAAATACCTTTTCACAAGATTTCGAAATTGTTTTCCACGGTTAAAGTCAAATTATCTAGCAACGTTCGCCAATTACCAACGCTTAACTTTGTAAAGTTGAATCGCAGAAACGGATCCTCTATTGCAGTTTTAATTAGCGATCGTTGCAAGACAGGAATCGTTGCATAATTGAAACGTTTCGAGCCAGGAAAATCGCTGCTCGCCTCGCCAATTTATTTTTCCTTATGTAGTGGTAATCATTGATAAAATAACAGATCTTTTAATTGTTCTGAATTATTATACAAGATTTATTTCTTGATTCATTGACTTATCTGATTAAAAAAAAAAAATTATACACACATATATCGTATTTCAAAATTTTTAATCTTAATTTATTAATCTTAATTTTTTTATTATTATTCTTCTTTTTTTTTTTTCAGGCGGTGGTGACAGCAACAAGGGTAAGAGTAAAAAATGGCGGAAGATACTCCAATTCCCGCACATTTCCCAATGCATAGGCCTAAAAGATAAATTGGGTGAGTATTTCTCTCATGAATATGTTACATTATAAGCGATAAATTTGATTTATTTGGGCAGAATTTTTAATTGACGTATTATCGTTGATTGTAAATTTGACTTGTATGGATATGGAATTTCTATTATGCTTTTAAAACGAAATACAAATGGAATAATATCTTCAACTTTATTTATTGAAAAATAGAATTCTATTTTTAACATTTAAATTTATTAAAAAGAATTATATTTTTTATTACTTTGTTTTTTTTTTTTTTAAATAATAAGTAAATCTTCGATAGAATCCTACTTGACTTTCATTTATTAGAACAGTATTCTATACATCAATGATTTCTACATCAATAAACAATAGAATTCCACTAAAATTTCAATCAAATCAATAATTTACGTACTATCGATTCCATTAGATTAGATTTAAAAAAAAGAAATATATAATAGATTAGATCAAAAAAAAATTTTTCGATCAAATTTTAACATCTTAAATATTATTACAATCTCTTTCACTCGATTAAACTTTTTTCACTCACTTGATCTTACATTTCCCCTTTTTTTTTCCCCGCCATTACTGCCAAAAGCTGGTTTTTGAATTGTTGCCGCCATTATTATATTTCGATCCTGATGAACACTTATTGCTCGAGCAAAGAAGTCATAAAGTAACGAAGAAAATCAATGAACTCTTATTACATGAACATTACATTAGGTTAATTAGACCTTCATAGAGTCAGATACTAAATGGAGTTTCACTGTATCCTCTCCTCCTCTCCTTTGTCTATATTCATTCGAAGCGATCGGTGAACCTTCAATCCTCTTATTCTAATCCGGCAACCGATAACGATAATAAGATGACGCCGATAAGAGGGATAAAGGAGCAAGATAGAGATGGATAGTTATATATATATATATAGAGAGAGAGAAAGAGGAGAGATCTGGAACAGACGCGCCAATTAAAATCTTTGACTCTTCTTTGTGCGTTTGTCGCGGGTTCACGAACTTTCGATCTCTCGATCGTTCCAGTTTCGATCTCGTTCTCGATTGTAAAATATTGTGATCGAGAAAAAAAAATATACATTGCATCAATTATAAATAATAAGATGTATATAACATAATTTATACGAGTGTTTTTCGAAAAGAGAAATATTCTCTTTTAAGAAATAGGGATAATACAAAAATTATTATATGTTTTTTCCTTCCATTAAATTTTGAAATTCTGAAAGCAAACAAAAATATTCTCATAAAGTCTCTAACTATGTAAAAATTTTTTTGAGGGTCGAGAGATATGAATAAATTCAAAAATTATTATTTTATTATTCGCTTATATCATTTGATGTTAAACAATCAAAAATATTCTCATAAAAGTGTCAACTCGTTCAATATTCAATCTGGATTTTTTTTTTTAGGAACTAGAACACGATATATGTCGTATACTTCTTCCCTGGGCTTTTCCCCCCCATGAATCTCATGATTAATCAACGCGTAACCCTCCGGCGACCTCGCGCCGGATTATTGAATCTCAGGCGAAAAAAAACGTCACGACGAAGAGAGGTTATATAGGAAGATAAGAAAGTGTTCTAGCCACGTTGTCGCCGGTTAATTAAGCCGTGATGAGTGCCCAAGGCGGTGAAAGTGTCTCTTTTCATGGCAGAAGTGCCCCACGCTTCGAATTACACGGTCTTAGGGGGTGAGATATTACGGTTGATTGATGAGCCATGGTTGATTGATCGTGGAACAACGAGTTTCGTGGGGTGTTTTGTGATTGAAATTGGATGGATCGCTAAAGGATTTGGGGGAGGGATTGCTGGAAGAGTTTCCTGGTTATTGAGCAGAAGATTTGTTGGATTAGGTGTAATCCTGTAGATTGTGGTTTCGTTGGTGTATGATATAGAGATGGATTTCATCTCTTTTTATCGGTAGATTAGGGATTTTTGTTTCTTCAAATTTATTTCTCCTGTGAAATTGATGAGTTTCTTGAATTAATTAAGATATAAGTTGAATAGCTATATATTTGTTGTTATATTTTATTATATTTGCCATTTGAGGATTTTTATTTTTATAGATAATTTGATAATAAATAATAATTGTAAAAACATATTTGATAATTAATTATCATATATTTAACAATAATGAATTTTAATTTATATTTATGATTTAATAATCAGCAAGTCAATTTATAAAATATCATGCTTAATATGTTATAATATTTTAATATATTATAATATAATATATATAACATTTTAACATTTTATGAATAATTTAATCGGTAAATATATATTTTTTCTTTAAAAATTAAAAAAGTATCATTATAAAGAATTAATCAATTTGTAAAGGTAAATACTTGCATATATTTCTAGTAACATTAAATTCCCTAAAATTAATCGACCACGAAAACGCGAATCGATACATCGCTTCGCGAGGAATCGAAGTGAATTCTCTGCAGTCAAGTCCAATCCGTTAAGAGCAAAATGGCGGGATTTCAGAGCTGTCGATAATCGGCGGAATCGCGTCAAAATTGGCTATGGATTATCAGGGACCACGCGTCAAGAATATTCCGCGTAACTCGATTAATCCCACGCGGATTCGAGATGCGCCGTTTCATAATTGAGAACCGAAGGGAGCCCGTCGAGTGCTCGTAAAGAAATTAACACGAAGTGTAATTGAGTGATTGATGCTTGAGAAACCGTTTAGACTCGCCGTTCGCTTCCGGCTGATTATAGTGATCGTTTCATGAAGTATGGTAAAAAAGAATTTTATGCGTCGGTTTTTTTTTTTAATAAAAGTGCTTTATTCTTATCTTTCCAAGATGTTCCACGTAAATTTATATATATATTAAAATATATATATGAAAGAGGTGATAGAAAGCGCTTCAAATTTAAATGAATAAATTATGCATGATAATATGCGTACATAAAAATATATGACTGTGATAATATAGAAATAAAATATAATGTTCTTTAATATATAGAAAAATATATTCATAATATAGACAAATATAAATATAATAAAGTGATAAAGATTAAAATTTTTTTCTTAAGAAATTATAACAAAAAAAAATTGAAAATTGAAATTTATATTTCTATTTCTCTCCAAAGAATTTGGAAAAGAATTATAAACATTAATTAATCATTTATCCATTTCATAGACATCAGGTACAGCTATGTGGTGGATCAGCAACCGATTGGTAGGCTGTTGTTCAGGCAATTCTGCCAGGACAAGAAACCATCCTACCATCGGTACAATCTCTTTTTGGACGCCATCGAGAAATACGAGATCGAGATGGATGAGAATCGGACTGAGCTGGCCAAGGACCTGTTCGAGCAATACCTGAAGAGAGAGGGCTCAGAGGTCGTCGACATCCTAAACGATTCTTTGATCGCCCAGTGTGAGGAGAGGCTCAGCACTGGCGGCAAGGAGCTCTTTGTGGAGATCGCGCAGACCGTGAAAAACTTCCTCGCTGGCGAGCCTTTTTCAGCTTTCCAAACCAGCTTTTATTTCTATAGGTAATTTAACTCAAACTGAAGTTTTTTCTTTTAAAAGACGGTTGGTTTTTCGTTGAGATTTATTCATTTGAGGAATTATTTTTTTCAGAGATTCAGCAGAATATTATTTTCCATTAACCTTAAATAAAAAGTATAATTTATTTTTAATGTTTGATAATAAATTTTTAAATGAAATATGGTAATGAAAAATTATCAGTTTAAATATCTCAAATTTTAATATAGTTTTAGATGAAGAAAAAAATAATTTATTGCTAATAGTTAAATCAAAAGTTAAATTAGTAAATTAATTTATATGAATAATTATTGAACGCAATATTAAAATATGATTTATTAAAATAACCATTCCAGTCTTCCATTTAGAGTTCTAATGAAACCTGTCAATCTTTATCTCGCCGACAAAGCATCCCATTAAAAGCTCTCTAATCAGCAAATATTTGTCTGCAATACTATTGTAGTGTTTTATCAATGCCATTTCCTAACATATCCTAACAATCGCTCTCTCTTTTCTCAGGTATCTTCAATGGAAATGGTTAGAGGCTCAACCAGTCACGTACAAGACCTTCCGTATGTACAGAGTGCTGGGAAAGGGTGGGTTTGGTGAGGTATGCGCTTGTCAAGTACGAGCAACAGGAAAAATGTATGCGTGCAAGAAATTGGAAAAGAAACGGATCAAAAAACGAAAGGGAGAAGCCATGGTACTCATAGAGAAGAATATATTGCAAAAGATCAACTCTAAATTCGTCGTGTCCCTAGCGTATGCCTATGAGACCAAGGATGCATTGTGTCTAGTTCTGACAATTATGAACGGTGGAGACTTGAAGTTTCATATTTATAACATGGGCGGTGAGCCTGGTTTCGACATCAATCGTGCCAGGTTCTATGCAGCCGAGGTGGTCTGTGGCCTGGAGCATTTGCATTTACAAGGAATAGTTTATAGAGATTGTAAACCAGAAAATATTCTGCTAGATGATCATGGCCATGTAAGAATATCTGATCTTGGTCTGGCTGTGGAGATCACAGAGGGAGACATGGTGACAGGAAGAGTTGGTACAGTTGGATATATGGCACCAGAAGTGATTGACAATGAGAAGTATACATTTTCACCTGATTGGTTCAGTTTTGGATGTCTTCTGTATGAGATGATAGAGGGTCAAGCTCCGTTTCGTGCAAGGAAGGAAAAGGTGAAGCGGGAAGAAGTGGACAGGAGGGTAAAAGAAGATCAAGAAAGGTATTCTGCCAAGTTTACCGAGGAGGCGAAGAGTTTGTGTCAGCAATTATTAAAAAAGAGCCCGAAGAACAGACTGGGTTGCAAGTGCGGTAGACATGGCGCCAAGGAAGTAAAGTTGCATAACTTCTTTCAGTGTTTAAACTGGAAGAGGGTCGAGGCCGGTATGTGGGAACCACCGTTTGTGCCGGATGTGAGTAGGTGTCGTTCAAATTTTAATTTGCCTTTTATATTTTCCTTATTTGGGAATAATGGCATTCTTTATTAAATAATTATTATGATATAAAATCATAAAATTACAGCAAATATAATTAACTTTAATATGAATAGTTATTAAAAATAAGTCAAAAATATCAAAATTTTATATAACACTTTATACATTTACTTATGTTATTTACAGCCTCATGCGGTGTATGCTAAAGATGTATTGGACATTGAGCAATTCTCTACAGTGAAAGGTGTCAATTTGGACGCCACTGATGATACCTTCTATAGCAAATTCAATACTGGTAGCGTGTCTATCCCATGGCAAAACGAGGTAAATCTTTTAACGTACTTTCAATATTTATATCGGTTTTCAGAGAGAGAGAGAAAAATAGAGGGATATCTTGATATGGTTATAGTATCGAAATGTATTGGTTCTCTACTTAAAAACTACTCGAAAAATATAGCGCACCAAAAGTGTTCCTTGTACGTCATAGGCAGTCTGCTATCGTTCCAGTGAACCAGTTTTAGCATTCAAAGCAATCTATATTGCAGTTGCGTTTATCATAAAGATTTATGTTTCATTCGATCAAAGAGATTCTATTTTCTGCGCAGTAAAACTGGTCCTCTTTGTTCCAGATGATAGAGACTGAGTGTTTTAAGGAACTGAACGTGTTAGGTCCTAACAACACACCTACTCCTGATCTATTGATCAATCATCCACCACCAAATAACGAAAATAGAGGCTGCTTTCCATTTCGAAGACAGGTGAATCTTTTTCTTTTATTTTGGCTTATATATTTATTAGAATACTCAGATGTTTAAACTATAAAAAGAAATTAAAAAAAGAAATATTATCCATTTCATAATTAACAAGCTAAATAGTTTATTTTATAGTGTATAAATTCGAATAATCAATTAAGTTAATAAAAATAATGCTTATAAAATTTTAGAACTCTTAGAGTATTTATAGTATATTAAAACACTAAAATTATTCCATCAATTAATCATAATCATAATGATTCGTTTCTTTTTTTTTTTTTTTTTTCTTTTTTTACTCTAGAAAAAGCAAAGTGCTCGTACAAGACAGATACCATTATCAGAGTGTCATCTACTGGAGTTGTCGCAGAGCCAAAACTCGGAGATGCCAGCTAGCTGATCCAAGGTGAACACAAATAGTGTAAATCAACCGACATCGTCGTCTATGCGACGTCGTCGTTGCGGACGACGTCGACGAGCTCTCAGATGCTGCCCAAAGCTGCTTTGAAACAGGAAAAACAACAAAAAATGATGCCTGAGTAAGCTCTGCAACTTTGGCGCCGATTTTTGGTGTGTTATCTTATGAGATTCACACTCATCTATAAGAGGGCTAGCTGAGAAGAGGCACTTTCAGCACTACAAAAGCACATGACACATGTTTTCTCAGGTTTCTTCAGGAGCAAGAAGCGACGAATACGTTGATACTTGCGAGAATGATACGTTCAAATACGTTTGTAATAAGAGTAACATAGAAGCATAGCCTCGTTAATCTTAAAAATCCAAGAGAAATGTTGCTCTTGTTGCAAAGAAATAGTGGATGCAACTATGTAGTTATTACATCGAAATATGAAATTCTTTATGAATGAAATTGATCGTAAAATATTATTTATTTTTGCGTGTGCAGCGCTTGATATTTATTTTCTATCGAATGAAAATGCAATAGTAGGTATTTATGGAGAATGACGTTTGGATATTGAATTCTCATTACGTATTATCTCATTATATATGTTTTACGGCCATTACTGAACGGTATTCTTTATTCAATTGGTCTATGTACACTTAATGCACATGAATATGAGCGTGATTTCGAGCATTCACACGTTGGCATATATGCAATGTTCGCGTAAATATGTTTACGAAATGGCGCAATTACATATCGGTAATTGGGGTCGCGTGCATATAATTTTGTATGTGTACTTAGAGCAGTCGATAGGCGCGTGCACATGCGATAATGATAGTAAGAATGTTATTAACGGATAAAGAAAATATACGCGTGAAAATTGCAATATGATAAAAATATACTGTGAAAAAAATGCTCCGATGGAACCGAAAAAATTTTCTTTCGTTTCTTGGAGCAAGTTCCAGAGGCATTCTAATTTTTTAACTAATTTTTTTAGTTGAAATTAATTGTATTCGCTGCTTAAAATAATCACAGGGTCGTTTTTGTTAGAATAATGTGACTAGAGATATTTTTTTTTTACTATTATATTACTTTTAAAGATATTCCTAGTATTTTTTTTTTTTTCTTGAGTACACGATCCTCTGATTATTTTTAGTATAGAAAAACAATCTAAAATTCAATCGAAATTTATTTATAATCAGAGTGTTCTTTCTTGATTGACAATCTTCCAATTTCATTTTGGAATGTACATTGCATTGCTCAAAATAGTCACTGAATCCTATACTCAAATTATATCTTGAAAACTCCAGATTATGATATAAATTACAATTTAAGTTCATTATTTTGTGAGCAGTGTAATCATCGACTGCCTAATTAGTTCAATTTTCTTCTCAAGTGAAACTCGAATCGAATAGATGCATTTAAGGAGCGTTAAAAGTCTGTGT